TGAGAAGGGCAGCAGAAGCCACAGTAGGACGAGGGGAGGAAGGTATTTGAAGAGGCGCAGAGCGATAGCACGGGTGGAGTTGGAGGAAGAGGAGGGGGCGCATGGCACAACATCATGGGAGGGAGAGAGAGAGAGAGAGAGAGAGAGAGAGAGAGAGGAAGAGAGATGGAGAGAGATAATGACATGTGGGGGAGAGACGGAAGGAAAGGAAGAGGTGTCAGACTCGGGAAGTCGGGAAGACGGGTGCGGGAGCGACAACAGAAATGAAGGAGTCGGTAGACAGCAGGTTTCGGGGAGAGAGATCAGGCGCAGGTGGTGAAGCAGTAGGAGGAGGAAGAGCGAGGTGTGGGGAAGAAGAGAGCGGGTCTGATGGGAGGGGCGATAACGCAGCAGTGCTAGATGAGCGACGCAGGCGTCGGTGAAAGAGGGAAATGAATACTTGCACTGGGAATATATAACTGGATCTGTAGGGTGGGCAGGCCTCAAAACACTCGTTCGAGAGACATGACGCGGTTGGCGCCAGAATAGAAACGACTCAGGCTGTAGGGTAGGCAGGCCAAGAACCATTGGTCAATAACCGTGACGCGGTTGTCGCCAGAATAGAATCGTTTGAGGCTGTATCTTCACAGAGCCCACGAAGGCCTGGCTTCTGTTTCCGATGCTTCTGTCGTGGGTCTAACCCGAATAAACCCCTTTAACCCAGTGATATCAAGTATATCGGTTGAGTAACTCAACTCAGTTGCCACCAATTTGAAAGTATCGCAGGTTATGTCCTCCCTGGGCCCTTGGAAGCCTTGGTACAGTTACCGAGGCTTCAGGCCCAAACTGAATAGTCTCATATAAGAAAAACCCATTACTTTGCCTATTTCCAGGTTCTGCTGGGAACCCCATTACATGATGATATCAAATGTACGACCCTGTTTCCCTTGGTCCCACTAGCAACCGGATAGGATAGAAAAGAGTTTGTGTGGCAGTTGAGTGACCCAAATCCTGTCGTGCAGTACTGGTGATCCCACGGTCATTTGAGTGTCCGTCCCAAGGGAAAAAAAAAAAAAAAAAAAAGTGTGCATCCCAAGACAGATGATGATGTTGGGGCTGGCCGCACTGCGTACTCAGCAAACGTGACAAATGGAAAACGTATTTTCAGCTATAAAAAGGAGGTTTTTTTTTTTTTTTTTTTTTTTTTTTTTTTTTTTTTTTTGTGGGTATTTTTTTTTACTTTAACATCCGCTGGGACTTTTTTTTTTTTTTTTTTTTTTTTTTTTTTTTTTTTTTTTTTTTTTTTTTTTAATAAAAAGGACATGCACCTGCCATGCTTTGTCCTTCGGGACATCCGTTAAAATTGGAACGATACAGAGAAGATTAGCATGGCCCCTGCGCAAGGATGACACACCATGCTTTCCTTTTTTTTTTTTTTTTCCCGCCATGCTTCCTCTTTTCCACCTTCCGTGAATGGAGCCACCAGAGCCATTCAAGCACTTGCTGCCGCTTGTGCGTTCGGAATGTCAAGACCCATAACCAGAAGTGGCAGTGAAGTAAAGCTGTCTGCTTGGCGGCTCCCTGAAGCCAGCCTCGTCTTCTTGAATAAATACCCCCTCGCTCCTGCTTCCGTAGAGTGGCTGCGTGCCCGACTCACTAGCGAACAGTTCTTTCGCCTTTTACTAAAGAATACCGTGGGTCGAGCACACACAAGCAGCTTGTACCAATTTTTAAACTTGTATTATGTGAACAACACACAACAACTTCGTTAGTACGCATTCAATAGTGACGCCATCAACATGGAAATAGACGAGGACCAACAAAGCAGAACCAGACCGAGACAGAGGGTCAGAGGGAGTGGGCAAACAGAGAAAGAAAGAAGAAGAAGGATAATACGCATAGTGAGAAAAACTCCCGAACGCGACTTTTCGAAAATATAACGATGAAGTACAGCGGCATGGACCCAACTAGTTTCGGCTGGACCGCCAACCAGCCATCATCAGGGGTCTTGGTCGTCGTCGTCGCAAGTGATAAAAGTGAATTGACGATTAAGAGGCCTGTCTCACGATTAAGAGGCCTGTCTCTTATCAGGGTCTAAGCATCGAAAAGTTCATCAGTATTCCCTTGTCCTTAAAAAAACATCTTATATGTCATGATCATATGTCGGCGGCCTAATCAAACACATGCCAATAGCAACAAACATAAACAAACACCACTTGCGAATCCCTACCTCTTCCACATCCACTGCCAATTCGTCAGAATGCCCAACCAATGTCCCAACAGCCATAAAATTTCCACGAAAAATTTGAAAGAGCAGAATCAAAAAAATAATCAGGATAATCCCTCAACCATAACTCATGCTTCAGAGTGAGTAGGAAAGCAACCTCCGTTCCCGGGATTGAAGAGAAGATCCTAGCATGATGTAAGAAGGAAGTGATAACAACTATCTTTTGTTGTTTACTGGAGTAAGAAGAAAAGTCCTGAAGCGACTGAAAAACCAAACCGTGGTCCAAAAGCAGCCGCTGATTCTTATGAGTAGCAAAGCAAGCCACCCGAGCAGGATCCTGAAAGACTTTGACAACAGACCCAATATAGTCCCAGCTGTCACCATCATTGGTTTGCTCAAGAATTAAGTTAGAATCATAACAATGCCGAAAACGTTCAATGATAGCAGAAGTGGACAACCCAGAAGATTTAGCAGAGGATGAAGATGATCTAACAAAAATGGAGACGTCGTCAACAATGCGGAAACCTTTCACCAACTTACGATCGTTACCAAGTGAAGACAGGAAGCAGTACTCGTTGAAGGCGCATAGCAAGCACGCCAAAGCCGGACTGGTTGTCTTGCCCATAGGGATAACAACGGTCTGCCTCAGCAAGTGCCCAGAAGCCAATACATATGTATGCTCTAACTCAAAAGCCATGAAACGAAAAATGTCCTTGAAGTCGACCAACAGCCACCCGTTCTCACCTTTACCCTTTGTCAATCTGGCAAGCTTCCCATGCATTCGTACCAAGACTCCCTTGAATTGTTCTCCCACCCAGTAATCTGTAACGGTTACCCATCGAACAACATTAAGAATCGAAGAGTGTGGAAGATTAAAAAACATCTCCTTGATGTCGAAAGACGCCCCAACAAATGTTTCACCCTTTCGCAGACTCTCATTTAAAGAAGAAATTTCAAGGACAAAATCCATAGTGCTCCTCAGATTAAAATGAAAATTATCCGGAAGTTGCCACAAAAGCGGATTGATAGCATACGCCATTCTTCGACCACAAGCAATGCCCCCTTCAAAAAACAAGGGGCAGATAGGGCGCCGACGCTCAATATTCTTATGTTTGGGGAGGCAATAAGCATTGTCAATCTCACCCTTCTTATCCCATCTTCCAAAACGTTCAAACTTCCCATCTCCAAACTTAACCGAACACAGCCCAAGCACACTTGACAGACTATCTGGTACGTGAGAGAAGGAAGGGTTACCAAAGAAAAATTTACTCATAGCATTAAAGTACATAACAGGACAACAGACAAAAGTATCACCAAGATTATGATCTATGGGACAACGAACTAATCCTTCGAGTCGATTCAACTGAGAAAGGAGATCATCAAGATTACACCTATCAAGAGTATCAGGAGAAACAGTAGATGCGGAGGAAACAGAGAAAGATGAAACAGAGGAAATATATCTAGCCAGCGAGGAAATGAACAACAGAGGGTGGGACGAACGAAAATTAAGTTGGGGGATGGTAGCCAAATATTTCGCGATCTGGCGACGGAGACAGGAGATCGAGCCAGAAGAGGAATGAATAATATTACGAGAATTTCTCATCCATCCAGGAAAAAGATCGACATCACTAAATCGAAAAGCCACATGACTGCCTATTCGTGGAAAATCCTCATAACGAGACTGGCAACAACAAACAAGCTCCGGAGTCTTAGCAAAAGTACGAAAATTGTGGAAATAACTGCCTATTGTCCGATTCTTCCGCCAAACAATACGCATGCGCCGAGCAAGCACAGGCTTCCATTCATCGGCAATATCTAGACCTCTTATCAATTCAACACAGAGCCTACGAATCTCGTTTTTGTAAAGAGCATCATCAAACACGATTCTAATTGTCAATCTCTTTCTTATAGGTAGGCCGAAACGAGAAGTAATAATTTTAGACAAAATCAACCGCAGCCAGAACCTCGACCTCTTCTCTTGAAAACAGTGAATAGCAGAGAAAGCATTCACAAGAGATCCCAACGACCATGACCAAAGGTGTCGTGTGGAAGCTGGATTACTCAGAAAGCCCACCAAGGAAGGTTTCAGGGACAGTGATCTGCAGCAGAAAGGAACAATAGAATGAAAGAAGATAACAGCACCATTGACCATCCAACCCTTCGATCGTCGAAGGAAATCCCGTCCAAAAGAACATTAAACGAATGAGCTACCAAAACAACGTTTGACTACCTTCCAATTATCGACAAAGAGAGAGCCGCCTTTGCAAACAAAACCAGGGTAGATAGACCAGCGTTAGAGACAGAATTAAGAACTTGAAGTAAGCTAGTCAAGATAACACCATTTGAAGAGCAAAAAACCAACGGGGAGGAACGAAAAGATTGTAAGACAGACGTAGGAGAAGATACAGAAGGAGAAGAGTCAAGAGTATGATCAGAAGAAGGCACGGTAGGAACTAAGAGATTATGGGTGAATTTTTTGGCACGTTCTTTCTTACTTGGTCGTTTTCTCCTACACTTCCTCGGAACACCCCTCGAATTAAGCGACGGACTAAACCTTCGAATGAAAAAATTTTCAACTGAAAGCAAATCACTCAAAGAAGGAAAACAAATGGGAATTGCCACATACTGATGAATCCCACACCGTCGAAGTCAGCCATACAATCGTTTGTTTCTACTACCCTTAGAGATCAAATTCTCATTACAAGATCGATACACATGCTCACACCACCTCGAATGAAGATCTCTACCAGTGCTACCTACATACATATGTCTGCACCAGGGCGATACCAATAAGTATACCAACGGACCTTTATTGTAGTCATTCCCAGCATGCCATGAGTCAACAATACATCCAACAAACTTCGAAGCCTAAGGGATACATCCTCGGAGGATTAGCGCAATTACCACAACTTGGAAGAAAGAATTCAGCGCTTGGCATCAAAGACGAGAAGTAGAGGAAAATCTCAATTTACAAGAACGCTGTGCAAGTGACCATAGATCAGCCACGTCCGGGAGAGACCCTAAGATGTTGCGGAGTCATCACCGGCACTGGCAGAACCATCGCCACCGAAGTCCTCCGAAACATCAGCCACCGGGTTATCTTTGACCGGAGGAAAGGCTTCCAACACCCTTTTTGCCACAATCTCGTTAATAGTTTGCCGAATAGTAGTATACTTGATGCCTTCTTGGATGCAAATTGTCGTCAGCTTATCCTTCGTTACTGGCAAAGATTTTCGTGTCTCCTTAATGAAAGCTTCCCGATCATTCAGCTTAGTCGTCGGCTCTTCAGCAATCTTCTTCTTTCCTTTGGCAGAACTCTTCACACCCGTTTCATCCAATCGAACCCTGAATTTCGATAGCGGTGTCTTGCTAGCCTTCTCTGCCTCCAGCTGCGCAATTCTTTCATTGGCCAACTCAAGCTCTTGCTCTGCTTCCCTCCTAGTGTTCAGCTCTCGCAGCCTCATCTCCTGGAGTGTATCGACCTTGAGCTGATGCATATGCTTCAGATCCTTGTACTCAACCCGAACAGTAGGAGCCTTGGCAGGAGTCTGACGTGGAAGAGTAGTAGCCTGAGAAGTCGGAGTAGAAAGCGCTATACAACCACGTTTGGAACCAGGCCGAATAGCCTCCTGCCTCCAAGCTTCAGCTTCGGCACGTGCCTCATCCCTAGCGAGTCGAATTGTCGTCATTTCTTTCTCCAAGGTCTCCATCCGCCGCCTTGCGGCCAGTGCTTCATCAAGCTGGATCTTCATCCTCTCCTGATCCGTCATCAATCTGGCCAATATATCATCATTGTTGTGCGAGACAGAAGTATGTACTGCCCCGCCAGGAGGAACCGCTTCCTTACGCGGAGCATGCATATCCTCCAACTTCTTACCCGAGAGTGCCAAGCAAACCGCATCTAGCTTACTATTCATAGACTCGGTCAGCTGCCTCTGAAAATCCTCCCGCTCCTTTCTGTCCTTAGCCCTCCTTTCATCATCCTCCTGATCCTTCTTAGCTTTCTCATCTTCAGCCTGTTTTGTCTTTTCACGTTCAACATCGGCATCATATCGAATCTTGATGGCGGCAACCGTGCCTTCCAGGTACTCCAAACGCTGACGTGCCTGGTACCATCCATTGTCTCTCTGGTAAGAACCTACAGGGTTAGAAACATGCGACACAATAGCAGACGACGGGGCAGAACTAGAAGGCAAAGTCAATAAGGGGGCTCGTGCAGGAACAACAACGTTACTCTAAGGTTGTCGGGGATGCGGGCACCATCTAGCAAAGTGATTGGGATCTCCACAATTGAAGCAGGAACGAACAATAGTAGAGGTAGGTAAGTTTGACGCCATAGTAACAAGTCGAAGTCACACGCTCACGTAGTATAATTCCTATGGAGGTTACTTCGTGAGTTGAAGTATTATGTGAACAACACACAACTTCGTTAGTACGCATTCAATAGTGACGTCACCAACATGGAAATAGACGAGGACCGACAAAGCAGAAGCAGACCGAGACAGAGGGTCAGAGGGAGTGGGCAAACAGAGAAAGAAAGAAGAAGAAGGATAATACGCATAGTGAGAAAAACTCCCGAACGCGACTTTTCGAAAAATATAACGATGAAGTACAGCGGCATGGACCCAACTAGTTTTGGCTGGCCCGCCAACCAGCCATCATTAGGGGTCTTGGTTGTCGTCGTCGCAAGTGATAAAAGTGAATTGACGAGACTGCGTATTTATCCTAGTCTAAAATGAGAAGACCAGAGACTTCAGCCGCAATCGTCAGAAACACACCGACGTCCGGTACTCAAAAGCAAGTGACTCAAAAAAGCCTATTCCACGAAAACTCGTCCACATTCTTCTAGATAACAAAAAATCCTTTGCGAAGGGAAGGTCACAGTTTCGAAACCTGATAACTATCAAAGTTAAGGGGCGTACTAGTATTCAAAGCATCGAGCCATTCTAAAAAAGGAAAAAGGTCTGGGCCTCGAACTCTCACAGTCAATTGAACCCTTCACAGAAAACACGATTAAGAGGCCTGTCCCTTATCAGGGTCTAAACATCGAACAGTTCATCAGTATTCCCTTGTCCTTAAAAAAACATCCTATATGCCATGATCATACGTCGGCGGCCTAATCAAACACATGCCAATAGCAGCAAACATAAACAAACACCACTTGCGAATCCCTACCTCTTCCACATCCACTGCCAATTCGTCAGAATGCCCAACCACTGGTCCCAACAGCCAGAAAATTTCCGCGAAAAATTCGAAAGAGCAGAATCAAAAAAAGAATCAGGATAACGGCCTCAAACGGAACTTTACGGAAGAAGTATAAAGGGTAAGGGCCTCGACACACCACTGTCGAAACGAAAAAAGTTCGATTGCATCTTCATGTAGAGCGTGGCAAGATGCATCCGGTACTGTAAATAGTAACGGACACATCTAATGACTTTCTGGGGTAGATGCATTCTTCCTTTTTCCGTTTCGACACCGGTGTGGCGAGGCTCTAAATCTCAGTAACCTCATGTACTACTTCTGTGGCACAGAGAGAAATATTCTCTCTCTCTCTCTCTCTCTCTCTCTCTCTCTCTCTCTCTCTCTCTCTCTCTCTCTCTCTCTCTCT